CTGCTTCCCCATCAAAGATGAGAGCAATGGTAGCAACAATGACTTACACACACACAAACAAACACACACACACACACTCTTCCACCTAACATACAAAAAAGTCACACGTTCTTTTTTTCTATCTAATGTGTGTGTGTGTGTTTGTTTGTGTGTGTGTAAGTCATTGTTGCTACCATNAAAAATCTCCTGGGGGAGAATCCCCCCCAGACCCCCCGGCTGGGGTTGGGTTTTCAGCATGTGTGCCTTTTTATATACGTTAGTTCAGCTTTGATTCCATCATCTCATTAAACCTTTTTTAAAAGCATTATTTTGTTTGTTCAAAATGTTGGGTATTGACCAAGTAAAAAGTGGGTCCTGAGGCCTGACCAGTTGAGAACCACTGCTTTATATTATATTTTAAATAAACACATAGTGTTAGATGAATGTTGTTACTTCTTCAAATGTGCATGTTTACCTGAAGCTGCACCACTGTGGCATTCTCTCTTAAGCGAGAGCACACGTGAATGAAAAGCACCTCAAGTGTCACTGAAGCTTTTTCAAAAATAATGACCATTTATACGGTTATATTATTTATATGATGTGTTGTTCTCCTCAGTGATGTGTGCTGTTATTAAGCTGTGTCCGTGTCAGATACTCACCATATACATCAGGATGTCTCTGATCATCACCATCGCTGTTTGATGGTCATTCCAGGCCTGATTTAAGGTTTGAAGGAAGTTATTGTTTAGGGCGTTGAGGACATCTTCTCGTACCTTCAGGGAGACAAACACACATGCATGAGGCGGGCATTCTGCAACAAGTTCTGTACTGTTGGAGACGAAACACAACGCCTGACAGGGAACTCCAAAGCTTGTTTGAGAGTGGGAAGCTGACACATTTCTAAGTGTGATTCTTTGTTAATGCAGCCTTGTAGTGTGACTCCTCTTAGACACTTCATTATACATTATATCTACTAGTAAGGAAAAGCAGCTTGATGATAATCACACTGCAGTGTGACTCAGCATTGTACACGTCTCTGTAGAGTACATTTCTTAAGGGCACACCGCCCTCCTCTTCTTCTAGACCGAGATGATGAAGTATCCCCTCTGCTCTCACAAACACACAAGATCAAACCTCACACGCTAACAAACGTTTGCTCATAATGGATTATTCACAGCAAGATCAAACGTTGAGGTGTGAGATCGAAGTAAATGCATAAATCTGAATATGCCTTTGAATTAAAGTCTTATTAGGTGTTACTTATAATGAAAAGGTTACGATTGATTTTTGGTTCTGTAAGGATAAAGGTTTCAATTATTGCCAATTTCTAATGATGCTGGTCAAAATACAAATACATCTTTTGTTTAAAGAATGCTTTATGTATGCACAATTGACGTCAGCCCAGAGCCTTCACAGCTGTTATAATTCACAACACTTACAGACATATTTCTATTATCATCCCTGTACATTGCACATGGTCAAAGTGCTGTAACAGCCCATCCACAGGCTTCTAGAAATAACATTATCAAGAGAAAACTGTGCATATGCTTGTTGCCATGTTTTGATGTCACAGAAGGAACAGAGTGAGAAAAATTACTCATTATGCAGGACGTTTTGTAGAACCAAAGGGACTTGACAATTTGGCCGTTGATGAGCCGCAGTAGACTGATTTTAAGTTCCTCTTTAGATTAATTATTGTATGTCTTATATGACTCACCTCTTTTATGTTGGCTTCAAAATACACCTGCTGTTCTGACCGCATGCTCATTGTTCAGCAACAAATTGAGTTTAAAACCCAGTGTCCTAGTGCCAGTGTTTAAAGAAATGTTTTTTCTCCAAATACTTTTCTCTTAATTCCAGCAACTATACCGCCTTAATAATGTTTTTCAAACCCAGAAGTAGAGTTACTGCTGCATAGAAAGAAATCATTTTACAATTTCCAACAAGTTACTTCTTGAAAGTGACATCTGGATAATTATTAGAAAATAAAAAAACACTCAGGAGTCGGCTCTCTTCTTTGAACTGCTGCTTGTTGACATTTTCTGACTGCTAATTTACTAAGGCTGCCAAGTTGAGAGTGTCTATTTAATTGGGCTCTAAAACCATCTGGCTACTATTTAACAGCTGAGTGCTGAAATATTGCTCGCTGGTATCTGCGCGCTGAAAGCTGCACAGAAGCCAAAGTTAAAATGGCAATATTTATATGTAACAAAAACAAGTTACAGCTTGGGGAAACGTATCTCCCACTTCTCAGCAGAAAATTGAAATATCAATAGTTTCAACAGGATCAACATTGCATTGCCGTCTCTCGTGCGAATCTGCCACCGTGGAGGGGGGGGGCGAGGAGAGAACTGGACTGTATCCTGAAGAACCCCTGCCACCCTCTTCATGCAGAGCTAGTGAAGATGAGGAGCGTGTTCAGCCACAGACTCATCCCTCCTCAGACCTTTGCACAGTATACGGGCACTCCTTTGTGCCTGTAGCCATCAGGCTGCACAATAAGGCTTTAACCTTTCGTAAAAACTCATGCCTACCTTACGTTATGACTTCACCTTAATGTAAATAGTCGGACTCTCACTATATAATTGGTAGGTGTGTATATACATATATATATATAAAAAAACTTTCATTTTAACTTATACTGTCACTTCTATTTACAAATTATTCTCAAAATGTTGTAGCATTTCTTTATTTAAATTATTATTGTGTGAATTTGTATCTGTCCTATCTTGTGTTTCAACTTTGTTGCTGTTGTTGCCAAGACACCAGAATTTCCCTACGGGGATTAATAAAAGTTTATCTTAAATGTTGTCGTTTTTAAAACATAAAGCAGCCATTGAAAGACATGTTGCACTTGTGAAACACAAAGCAAAACCTGTTTTATGAAAGACTTCCAGACCGACGAAAAGCCACGTGAAGCTGAAAATCTAGAACTAAATTGACCCTACAAACAAATCTGGGCACTAATTTGCATGTCACGGAAATGGGGAATGTGTCTTAAGGAGGTCTGAGCGATCCTTCAAGACTTTTACGAGACAAAAGTAAAAACCACATGAAATTGCATTCACTTCATTTTACTCTCAAAAGGCCGCTCATGAAGAGAGAGCTCAAGTTTCCTGGTAGAACCTTTGTTTTGCAAAAGGGCCACACAGCCTAAGCCTTATGAATCTAAATATGAAGCTTATGAAAGATTCAGTTTAGCACCAAGAAGGTTACTGAAAGAGGCTGTCCATCTTAAATCCGGCTTCCAAATTCAATTAAAACTAACATATATGTTAATTTACCTGTTACTAAAGTAGCTATCCACATGAATACATTTCCTTGGTACCTCAAACTGTTCTATGATTTTAAAATGTTCTAATCCAGATCTAGTTTTAGATTTTCATACGAGTATCATTAAGACAAGTATATAATGATAATCTAATACACACTTGAGTGGAATAGTCATATCACTTAAATACAAGGCATAATTCCAATGTAACTCATTTTGCGATTAATGTGTAATTACTTGACTTTAAGAATCTCGCAAATTAACAATAGATGCACCTCTTAGTATTATAATTTCCTTTGTAAAGAAAAAGTAAAGAAGAACATTTTCTTGCTGAAGTTCTTCTGATTTCAAGGTCCCCTATTATACTGTTTTTCATTAATATATTACAGGTCTCAGATATATACAAAACATGTCTCTGAAGTGTTTGGCTCCGAATACCAAACAGATTATTGTAGCATCCCATAATCCCCTCTGTTTCAGCCCTGTTTCAAAAAGGGCTGATTCTCTGTCTGTTACTTTAGATGAAAATAAGGAGCCCCTCCCCACGCCCCTCTGAGAGATATTTGGTTAAAAAGAACACAATGGTGCTCTAGGAGGAGATTCAGGTGATAAGGGGGGGGGAGTTACCTTGGTTGGTGATTGGCTAATGGTTACACAACCCAAAACATCGTTATGACATCATAAAGTGGCCAAAATCTGATCAGCTCATTTTCAGACAGGTTTTTATATAAATGGATCAGGAGAAAAAGAGAGAGAATGTTTTTTCCTGAAACTTCCAGAATCTCTTTGCACAGAGGGGACACATGTTGATGTATAAAAGACATGACAAAGTGGATTTTGCATAATAGGTGACCTTTAAGGGCCCTAAAGGAATTCATAATGGGTTTACAACAGGAGGAATTATTTGTCCGTGTAATCCAAAAATATTAAATATAACCGTGCCATCGGTGTTATTCTTACTTTGTTGATAAGGTGTTCGGTGACGACCTCTCGCAGGCCAGTGTACAGCTTCTCTCCGTGTTTGTGTAGCACCATTGTGTAGGCGTTCCTGTACAGCTCCTCAAAGCTCAGGCCGCTGTTATTTTTCCTCTGAATCTCCTGGATGGCATTCTTCAGAAGGTCCCAGATATTGTTGACGTACTTCTCATCCATCGTCATCTACAAAAGACAGACAGTAATGGGTTGAATACAATGACAATCACTTATGATTATTATTATGACTAACAACACTTGGATCCTGAATAAAGCCTCGGTGTAGAACAGATTATAGCGAACAAGTGTGCTAAGCCTGAAGGACAGGTCAATGAGGAGAGTAAATCTAGCTTTCATCAAAACGGTCCCAACATGACAGCTCCAAGGACTGCCGTTAAAATGACAGCTCTCACCTTCAAATCATCAAAAGGAGATAATAGCTGTCTTTTACATAAACTCACATAGCAAAAGGGGGGAATTATACCTCTATTTTGAAGTCTTTAAAGTTGACACATTTTTTTCAAACAACCAACAAACCCCAAACCAGAGGAATCTTTGTCAGATCAACATCCTTGACTAGGACGATCAGAGTAATAATATGAAGAATTGATGCCAATATCTATACACTATGAGAAGTGTCGTTCATTTTATAGGTCAGTCAGTAAGTATTACAAAATATGAGGAACAGTTATGTAAATCATATGCATTTGCATATTTGTGCGATGACTCAACCAGGAGTTGCATTTCTGTATTCCCCAGTACTTTTCAAAGGGGATTTAAAACTAGTAGTTGCTGGTTAATTAGAAATGTAGGAGGCGGTTATTTTTTAATTGCCAGTAAGAGTGTGTAAAAAACATGTGGTTCTGCACAGTACAACAGTTGTTTTCCATTATAATTACATGATAGCTTCACACTTTTTTGGGGCATCCCTATAGCTAGTTGGTCTACCACAGCTAGCGAGGAGGGACAGTGTGTGTTCCTCAGCAGACAAGCCCAAACACACACATATCAAGATGCTGCTCAACCAGTAGGTCAGTCAGGACCGGGCCACATTCAACAGGCTCACATGGGTCCAAATATTCCTGTCTAATTACATACATAACTATGTGGTCACTGTCACACAAACTGAAATAACTCAATCACTAATAGATGAGTACTACAACCAGCATTTGGTTGATGTATGTCTCACACAGCCCACTCTCAGACAGACTTGATTTTCAATTTCAGCTAAATGAGGTCAGTTCATAAATGAGGTATATCAGTGACTTGCAGACAAAGGAAGGCCAGGTGGACGAGGAAAATAATCCTTAATCACAAATGTAACAGTTGAATAATAACAGTAACAAGGTTTACAACTAGCATTAATATACAAATTAATGCAACACCAGAACTAACGTTGGGTTAACTGATGCAGGTTGTTCTAGCATCCTGCTACAACTGTAGTACCGTTGCTGCTTGTTTCTTGCACACAGTTGGTAATCTAGCTGGCCCTTCACTGCACAAAAGACATTCAAATGTAAAGCTCGAACATAACGACGTCATGCATTTTATAGAGGAAGCCAAAACAATCAAAACAACAAGTGTCAAGAGTCAGGGCTAACGTTAGCATCGGCTATGTCGACAGAACCAATCTGCAAGCGAACGTTTGGGGAGTTAGGAGGCAGTTACACCTTAAAATACAATGAAAGTAATTGATTAAACTAAATATTAACACGGTGTAATCACCTAACTAAACAAACAAGAGTTGGGGAGGATTGACGATTTGTCGTCGGCACTTTGTTTACAGAAAGCAAGTCATAACTGCTGCTCAGCTGGTTAGCCTGTTAGCATTTAGCTGGCAGCCCAGACCACGGTGATCGAGTCAGCCCCTGGCGGGCGGGCAGAGCACCTACTGCGGGGAACACTTACAGGAAAGGCCCGTATCCTCATTTTGGTGTCCTTCTTGGTGCCGCCTTTGCTGAGATTGGACATGGTTGCCTCGTCCGTGGGCTCTGTATTCACATGAAAGTATTCTCCAGGGAGGGACAGGGGTGACTACTGGTTTATGGAGAAGCCAACGAGCTTTCACTCGACCTCGTAGCTCCGCGTCCCGGGCACCGCAAGTTTATTGTTGACAGCCAAACGCCAAATCCGATAGTTGTTCACACAGCAATGGCGGACTACCTGCAGTTCTCATTGCGCAGAGCTCACGTACTCAAAGTCACGCGAGAAAGTAATCATTTGGGTTCTCAACTTTACTTGCAACTGTATTTTAAATATATATGCTCCTTTTGTAACTGTAAGAATAGAACATTATTTTCTTTGATATAGTTCAGATATTTTGGGATGATTTTCAGTATTGGCTAACACAATGAGCAAAACAATCCTGTCCTAACAGAAAACTGAATTTGGAATGAGTAATTCTGTTATTTTAGCTCAATATTTCATCCTCAATATTTCTCCAGTGTGTATTAGTTTTCTAAAAATAAATACTGGAGGAAACTATACAAAAAACAAACATTTACTTACACCTTAATTCCTGATTGACCACTTTGGTGGGTAGGCCTACATACTTGCATCAACACAAAGTAGCCCTAAACTACCCTAAGTTCTCTTGACGCAGGATAGTCCTTTTCAGTATATTCTATTACTGTATTAAGATATGCATTGATTGCATCATTTAAATGTTGCAGGTGGAACTCATGTTAACTAGTATAATTTATTTAGGTCTACTGGTGCATTGCCTGTGATTTGGATGGATAAGTTAAAGTAGGCATCAATAATGTTCATGTAGGCCTCTACAACAACATACAAAGTAGGCCTAAACTACGTAAAAGTACTAGTTACGCAGAATAGCCCTTTATTGAGAATACCAAATATTCTATTATTGAATTAAGATTATTCACGCAATGATTGCATCATTTAAATGTTGCAGCTGTTGAAGGTGGAACTCATGTTAACCCCCACACTCTAATGTTGCATTGCCTGTGAATTCCAACAAAGAATGAAGAAAGTACATGAACACTATTTATGCCTTTTATTATTTATTTATTTATTAGAAGGGACCCTATAGCTTATTTATTATATTGCATTTTATTAGTGTTATAATTGTGTTTACATTTTAAAATGTTTAAGAATAATTTACATTATCACCAATATATTCAGCACAAAATATTAATATCAATTATTTTTAATAGTTATCAAATCAACATTATTCTGTTATCTGACAGAGATGGAAAAAGTACTCATATGGTTAATTTACTGATAAGAATATATCCGACAAAACATATTAATAATAACAGGGATGGAAAGTCACTAAGTATAAGTATATAACATAAACTGTAATCCACTTCAATTCTGATTATCTTGAATCTTTCTTCAGAACTCAATTTTAAGTAAACTATTCATACTACACTACAAATCTATCAAAGGTCAATATCATGCTTTTACCTCTCCGCATTTAGAATTAATATCTACCAATTACTTATTCAGATTACGCTGTTTCATACATAATTCAGATTTTCATACACATGTTTTGATGTCATTAGTGCAATATCCATGCAGAATGCTTCATGCAATGTCAAATGTATGTGTAATTTAATTTGACATCAGTTGCTTTGTTTGAAGAGCACAACACATTATATTCTTGGCAAAAACGCATGTACTCACTTGGGCCTCATCCTAAGGAAAGTGTCAGATACTGTACAAACAAGTTATTATAAGGTTTTTCATACGATATGCAGAATGTGGAGAAGAGATGTTGCTGTTTGCTGGGGGAGGGGGGAGTAATGGACTGTAGTGGATTTCTGCCCCAGGGCCTCCAGTGTGTTAATCCGGCCATGCTTATACAGTATCAGTATGTGGGACAGGCCAACAGGATCAACAAAGATGCCACTGTGATGATTAAATCAGTGTTGCAGAGCCCTAATGCCACAGTGTTTTCAGTACACATTCATAGGGAAGCAATATTGCAGAGTATGTTAAAGCTACATTTCATGTTGTGTTGTGTGCACTTTTAGAGACAGCAACCCAGAAGCCTTTCACCAGATTTATTCCAAGGAAGAAAAAAAAATCTCAAAATGTCATCCATTTGTCTTCTTGTCAAAAATGTCCTTACATCTGAAGAAAAATAAGACCACCAGCACTCAGATTTCAACAAATCAAATAAATAACAGATGACGGGATGTAGCTGTCCTTATAGTCATGTATACATTTCAGATTAAATGGGGATATTATTTGTGGTAGATTATCATATGTATAATCTAAATACACATGTGGTTCTCTTTCACCTCCTCTTTCTAATAGTCAAAGTTTGGGGTTGTTCAAAATGGCATGAAAAAAAAGAGAACAGGATGCAACCACTTTAAATACATTAAAAAATTGAATTCTCCCATTGTAATAATGAAGGACAATCAAGTAACATTTCTTTTAAAACTTTGATATTTACAGCAATTCTATTTTTGCCACTTTTAACAATTATGTCACAGGTTTTTATTACAATGACATTACTTCACATGTTAGAGTCCTGCTGTTCTGTCATGATGGGAAAGATTGTGTTCATAATTTCTTGATAATGTATCAGAAGAAAAGTTTTATAGAAACACAGCCCTCAACTTCACACCAACATTAGAGAACAAAAATAACTGTAGGTATGCCTGTTTATATCTTTGCAGCTTGGCCAGGAAGTAGACAATGTTTGCTTGGCACAGTTAGCCCTGACTCTCTATGACAAACAAAGAGGGGACGGATACACACTCAGTATAGAAAACTGTCTCTGGTCCGGACACTCAAAAGCATTTTAGGATTACATTTGTCACAGGCATTTGGATTTCTTCTTATGGAAACATCATGAACTAACACTTAAATGCCTTTGAAAACTCAGAGCTAAAAATAATTTAACAAGAGGCATAGGTATTTACATAGGAATCTATGCAACGTCACAGAGGCAGACACTTTGTATTGCACATTAAAAAGGCAGGTACATATGAAACAGTGGTTTAAAAAGAATAAAAGTGGGATAACCACATGTGAGTAAGAGAGAGTCTACAAACACATCTGTACGCCCTTTGAGAAATGTATCGTAAAAAAAGACCAAGGCAGATCAAACCATTGCATTCAATCGCACCGATGCATATCCCAAAGTAAGTGTATAACACATAAATCAAACCTCTTTGCTTACCAATTAACCCTCATCCCCAATGCACCCTCGTGAGACCCTTTGAAGAAAAAAAATATATTTATTAAAATCCTATGATAGCAATATTTTTGCTTTCATCTACCCTCACTTTCATTATGAACTGAAGTACACTGGAGGTTTGCATCTGCATCATCTATCAACACCAGCGTTTCTGTTTGATTTTCATTACCGCCAGTCCTCTCTCTCTTATCTGCTCACCCACTCAACCGTCCACTTCTTTGCTCTCTCATTCTCACCCCTCCACCGCACTGCCTACATGCAGTACTGTTTTCAGACGTTACTCTTTGTGTAACTATTGCGTGGTTGTTTTACCCCAACTCTGCAGCATTTCATATTTTAAATATTGTTAAGTAAAACTGAATATGGCATATTGTAACACAAAACCCCATGGCCTCCGTTCTATATGAGGCACAATCTGAGAACTTAACATTATTTGTATTTCTGGATGCAGCAATAGTGAACTGTTAATGCTTTCAGGACAGTCATTTCTGTGATGGCTACATCTCTAGTTCCTTCTTCTTAACTATTTTTTGGGTGCATTCATAACTGAAAATGCTGATGTGTCTGCCTAATAATTCACTGGTGGTGGTATATATAATTTTAAATAGAAAGAAGTGAACGTGACATCTGAGGTCTTTACACAGGTATTTCACAAATATACATCTTTTTGAGCATTGCGATCATTCATTCACCACATTGATACTCAAACTATGTCTATAACAAATATACAACATACATATTAAACAGACTCTTTATTTCAATTTTCATATATTAAAAGCTCTAAGAAAGGCAGCAGAGATGCGCAATAAGGCAGATCCATATGACACACTGAATGACACACTCCATATAACACGCTCTACTCTGGCACATTTACACTAACAGATGAGATGGATCTTTTAAAGGGCTTCGGTTGCTCACTATCTAAAGTGGTTTATGAGGAAGTCAGTAAACTAAAAGTAAAATGAAGTGAGATCGGTGCGAGAGAATAGGAAGGATGGCAGAGGGTGGGAAGGATGACAGAGAAAAATTAAGTGTTTTAGGTCCTGATCGACCTTTATTTGAGGTTTAGATGCACCCTTGATCCAGTGACATGCAGATTAAAGCACAGGGAGTGTGTGTTTAACGTTTTATGCATGAAGTTGGTGTTATGGCCAGGGATCTGTGACTCTGTCATTGATCAGTGATTGTCAATTTGTCCCTTACATTTTCCCAAAATTGTAGGACACATGAGGGTTATAACGCTGTGTGAGTAAATGAACTAAATCTCTGTCGTACAACATGGTGATGAATTAATTAAATATATTTTGAAGAGCTGAATACAAAAAGTGTGTGTGATGGTATAAAAAATGGAGTGCATTAATTTCTTAGCCATGGAGAAATCAACACTGACATAGAATAAAAGAATAATACATGAGGTGTCCATACAGCATGCATTCATAAGCATCAGGTGAGGGACTATGGCAGCTGCTTGTGTGTGAACAACGCTGAGCCATTGAAATCAAAATCAAGCCATTAGGAAACAGTTTACAGAAAGTATAGCACTTTATCTCACTGATACATGTTGAAGCAGTCTTTTCCATAAGAACTGTTTTTTGTCTGTTGTGTGTCGACACAGTATGCACATGTACATATGTTTGTCAGTGTGTGTGTGTGTGTGTGTTTTTACAATCTTAATCAGGACCAGTGCTCTATGAATGAACCTGTGACCTGTGTTTAAAAACTCATTTTTCCAGTAGAACTTCTGAAAAAGACAAAAGTCAACACCTTCTGCTTTCCTGAACCAGAGACACAAGCAACATGTGGCGTCTAATCACTGAACCGGCTCAGACGGATCCGCTCGTTTCAAATCACTCATCTGATTTAATTAGTTTGAAACTTGTTCTGTCCATTCTGCATGACCAGCTAAACATCTAGGTGATGGACAGCTGAGAGGTCCCTCCCTCTTGGGTCACTCCAAAGGTATCCTCGGCCTCTTACTGGACCACAGAGAACTTCAAGCTTCCCGCTGTCGTCACTGACCGCTCCCTCCTTCTTCTTCTTCCAGGCATCCGTTGATGCAGTGGTCGTCGCTCCCGAAAGCGCCCTGGGACTGCAGCAGCTCGTACTCCTGGTCCAGGAAGTCTAGGCTGTTGTTGCTAGGCAACCCACGGACGGAGAACTTGTGGGACACTTTGGTCCACTGCTCTCGATTTGCCGCCACTCTCATGTACAGCTCAGTGGCCTCAGGAAACAGTTCAGAGAGGAGCCTGGAGGACAGAGGGCAGTGTTGGCATGCGAGTACAAATATGATTATTGATATACAACGAAGTGTGGTTTTAACGTAATTACTTTACAAGAAAATATCTTTATCACACCCGTGTTAAGAATTTGGCCACGTCTTTACAGTCCCAATACAATTGATTTATACTTTTATTAAAACTAAAACACCACTGTGTTGTGATACACCTGTTATATATCGGAAAACAAGGAAACAGTTCAGAGAGGAGCCTGAATGACAGAGGGCATTGTTGGCATGTGAGTTAAAATAGGAGGCTTTGGGCTACTTTCAGAAGTTAGGTGTCCACGGGATATTTTACAAAAAAACATCTTTAGCGCACCAGGGCTAATTATTTTCCCAATTTTCGCCCTTACAGTCCCAAATAAAATGGATTTAAACAACTTATACCTACTAACTGTAACTCTATGTACTAACTACACCACTGTATATATTGTAGTACAATTTGCACACTTTTACTTCATATTTTAATGTTTATATAAACATCTATTTTACTTTATTTGATACTTTATCGCACATTTGTAAAAATGTTTTTAATTCAAAACGGTTTATTCTATTTTTTGTATCTTTCATTTTATTTCATATTAAAATCAAGCACATGTCATAAACCCAAGTACCTCGGGAAAACTAAGTATTTATTGTATTCTTCCTGAGCAGCTGGCACCTTGTATTGCAGCCTCTGTACGAGTGTGTGTGAATGAGTGAACGCTGAATTGTATATGCCATAAGACCGGAAAGAGCACTATATAAACGCAGTCCATTTAACGTCAATTCATATTCGGAAAAAGGTAAAAATGTAATTTTTTACATCCAGGAAGAAGGTTTTGTTTTTGGTTTAGTTTCTTGGTTTTGCTGAAAGGTTGTAGCATTTGCCAGTGAAGGAGCTCTTTACATTTTGGAGTAGATCCAAATTACGGGGTTATTTTTTAGGCTTTTCAAAGGTCTATGCTCTCAGAGTGCCCTTCTAGTTTGTATGATCCTTTTTTGACTCACTGGCTGTAGACTGTAGTCTGTCTTTGGTTGCTTATTTCAAGTGGCAAAGACTGATCTTACTCTAATGTCTTGCATATCTTATTTCTAACAGTGATCTATAGTGTACAGCACTAATTTAGTTAAACCTGTATTATCCAATTTGTGGCTACTTTGGGGAAGTGCATTAGGTCCCACATAAAACAATGTCACTTATCAAGTCAATATGGCGAACATGTTACAAAACAAAGCAGACAGCGAGCAAAATTATCATTAATTTGGAGTCTCTGGCCGCCTGCCTGGCTGAATGTCAGAACAATATTCATTCTCTTTTCAGGTCTTTCTTGCTTCACAGGGAAATATCTGTCTTCATCAACACGTCGGTGTGTCAGCTGTTTGATTGTGGCTGGGTGGAAAACAGTGAGTTTGTTTTTTCGAGAGCTGTAAAACTGTGGGGTCATAAAACCATAACAATGAGCTAAAGGAAGCTATGGTCTGTGAAGCTCAGGGAGAATAGTGCTTTTTATCAGTGGGTTTTTCATTGATCAGTTGTACAGTAAATCATTATCTTTATTTTGATTAGAGTAGCTTTAAATGATCAAAAACACATTTTCACTGAAGACAATCCAAATCCAGTTTAAAGTTATATATGTTCTTGTTGAAATGAGATTCATACTTTCAGTTATCTCCCTTTGTTCAATAATTTCAATGTTGGGACAAAGGTCAGTCCTTCCCCTGATACAAAGTAGTTTGAGATAAAAGGGTTCAGGGGAAGAGGTGGGATGTTATACGTACTTGTAAATTGGCATGGCGATATGTTCCATGAAGCTTATCTGTAGTTCGGGGATGTATGCTTTCTCTCGGTCCATCATCTCACTGGGCCTGTTCCCCATGGCTTTTTCCTGCACGCACAGACACGAGTAATGAGCCTTCTAATGTATAAAACACCAAGCACTTAAGAGTCTTATTAAATGATTTAACATTCAACAGGCCATGTACACTGGCACATACCAGATCTCCTTGAGAGAAGAACTCTTTGTAAATCAGCTCCTGTGAACACAAACAGAGAGACATCTGTTATTGTTAATATGGTTTCATATTCATGGTGACGTTGGTAAAGCTTAATTAAATATAGTTATGAATTGTCTCAGAATAAAGTAGCAAATATCAACTGGAATCCTCCTTAATTATATATTTTAGGGACAGACCAATTTTCCGTTTACATGTTTGTTTTTTAAAATAAACACAAGTATTCAATATTTGATCCAAATATAACCTTAATTTGACTTTGCTGAATCATTTTTCATTTCTCATCATCACATTTAATTATTTTGTGAAATTGCGTTTTTGTTAATCCCCAAGCATTTTCTGGCCATTGAGAAAATAAAGTACCAATTGAGACCAAAATAGACCAGAGCTTGTATTAAACAGTGTAAGAAATGTGCTTCCGTTTTGGGAGAAAGGATTATAGTGAATTTGCTGTACTGTAGGTGTTTGGAGATTTAGGGTTTAGGGTGTAGGATTTAGGACAAGGGTCAGGGGGTTTTGCTACTGGAAAGGCAGACAAAGATTAAGCATAATCCTAAAATGGAGTTTCACAGAATCGAGAATAAAGGGTACATAGACAGAGAGGTTGTTTCCAAAAATACAGCTAAGAATCTCTCATCCTTATCGTCACATAAATGCATCAATTTACTGTGTAGTAATTGGGAAATGGAGAATGTAAGGAATGCACTGCTGAAAATAGGATATGCAATAGCATTATAGAGTAATATACAGCATGAGTAATAGTGACAGGATATAAATGCTCTGAAACTGCATTACAGCAGTCCTTTCACTTCATCAACACTTTCTTTGTATGAACTTGCAACAAACTGTTTGAAATGACAGAGCAATTCGCAAGTTGTGATACATTGATTACTAAATATTAATCATTGTTCACATTAAAAGGATAATTGAACTAAAACAACAACAATCTCTGGACTGAGACAAATACAGTACATGAGTGTACAAACGGCTGAATATTTGTAAAAGTGTGTAGCACAAAGCACATACAAGGCTGTTCACAGGATAGGACCAAAACTCTGCCTTCTGATTCATATATTGTTTTCTTTTACATAAACAGGACTCTCTAAAGTTATGATAGATGGACGTATGCAAAAAAATCATCTGTTTGTGTTAAAGTTCATCAACAACACACTCAGCTATATGTGCGGTTACATATGTCATTATAATTTAAAATATAGACATTGGTGTGGACAGAGACTATAAACTGACAGCAATCTTGCGAGTGGTTTTCCAGCCCTTAGTTTGGTCTGACAGGTCACACGATGTCATCAAGAGGCACAGCAGCATGGAGCGGTGGTTGCGGTTTTTTGGATCGTATCCATCTGAAACACACACATGCAAAATAGTTACTCTATTTTAACGGCATTAACAGACATACATTTTAACTAGGCAAGGCAAGGCAATTTTATTTATATAGCACTTTTCAGCACGTGGCGATTCAAAGTGCTTTACAAAATAAAAACAAAAGACATTTAAGAACAAATACAGCATAAATACCTTATTAAATGGCATTTAAAAACAGGCATAAAAAGCAAAGATAATGAAATAAAATAAATAAATAAACACAGCAGGTACAGAATACATGACTAAAAGGCATACTGTATTAACATGAAAGCTTTTGGAAGAACTTATGAAAGCCACTGGTAATAACTCTAGAGTTCATCATACCTCAGTAGGATTTAAGACATTTAACTGATTAATATTTATTTTTTCAAAACTGATTGCATTTTAATGTACTCAAAAATGTACCACATCGAATGTTAGGTCAAGGCAATTTGTGGATTTGGTAGGGAGAAATTATACTTCAATGGTATCTTAATACTGTATATTTCCATTCTGTGTTGGGTTAAACAATTTTTCATCCATAATCGACAAGTGACACACTGGGGTGCAAGGCATTCAGTAAGTCATTTAGAAGCTTTTTAGTTACTTAACAGCACACGATGATTCAACAGAAGAGACTTTCACTCAGGATAACTTATAATTGTTTGCATTCAGGCGTAGCAAACTGCTGGCCAGGAGGTTACAGCCAATTATTTTATGTAAGAGTGCAGTAAGCAAGTGCCTTTTCAAAAGGGTAAATAGTCCAATAAAAATATAGGATTACTAAGACTGTTAGTGATGAATGCTGCAAGTTTGACCCTCAGATCCAGGAAAAATAAAACTGAAAAACTAGAGTCATTATGAGCCTTTTGTGTTGGGTCGACTAGGGAGCCAGCAGAGGAAATTGGTTTATAATGTCACAGTCCGTCTTGTTTTATTTGCGTCAAAATGGACTTATATTGATTTACTTGTGTAATCCAAAAACGATTACAATTGTTGTTATTCTACTTGTTTGCTAACATGTATTTAATTGGCATTTTTTCACCTAAGAAATCAGCCCATATTTTTTGAGGAGAAATTGAAAAATCTTGCTTTGTTGTCACCAAAAATGTGAACAAAGCCTCCCTTTGCTTTTCATGGTTGTGAGTTGAAAGCAAAAGTAGAGATGTGTCTGTGCATACTGAACTACTGAGGCGTACCATCAGCCATCTTCTGCAAGTCCTTGAAAATGCGTAGGTGGTGAGCCAGGTCTGTAGCCAGAATGATGTCTCTGATCAAATCCAGCATTCGTGTATAATCCTAAAAAAAACATCAACATTCACTTAAGCTTACACATAGCTGGATAGCAGAATCAAGAACATTTTAATTATAATTAAGAGACATTTGTTAATTGCGAATGTCAGATTTGAATAGCTTACCTTCCTGTTGAACTTCTCAAAGATGTTGCAGCCGTGAGTGTTCAGGATGGCGATGGCCTGGGCAAAGTGATGTCTCTGTGAGGCACATAATAAAGCATGATGGGGAAAGTAAGTACATTTAAAATCGCTGCTTCTGAAGGAATGTTAAGTCAGGTTGCAATACAACAAGCAAAACCAGTTTACATGCCTCCCAGTGCCTCATCACTGCTGCATGGAAATCAAGTTTGAGTTTGGCCACTAGGTGTCGTATCAGCACAAAACAATATTAGTAGATCACACATACTGAAGTTCATCAACATGGAAGCAACAAACAAATATAGGACAATTCTACAAAGGTTAATTCTACATATTGCACAATTGAATGCGCTCATTAGAAGTGAGGTCATATTAAGTGTATTGTTGACTGCTTTTTATTCAGAGGTGATTCTCATATTCTGATTTCCTCATTTGTGTAAATGGGAAGGACCAAAAAAACACCTCTCAACTTAATATATTCATGACCTTTCACAATACATTTGTATACAGGCACATCATGTTGTTTGAGCTCTGTTTCCAGTCAGCTCTCCCACATCCCTGTGATGTAACTGGTTGTGAGTTTACCTCCATCACAGATCCCTCTGAGCTGTAGAGAGCAGCCAGCACCGATTGCTGAAAATGGAAACAGATAGACAAATGAAACACTATCCTTTCAGTATACACATTATATTGATTCAAATGAAACAACATCCTTTGATAACATCCTTTAACTCTACTTGTCAGCTTAAATATGAAAGATTGAAAAAGAAAAATCATAAAAGAAGCTGCTGAAACGATGACCTTTGTTGCATAATAAGAGCTGGTATGTGCGTCATTTAGGTGCTGGAGGGTTAAACATGATTACAGAGGAGCAGTGCGAACTGTTTTTATAACACAATGACATTTAGTATCTCACTGGGGCGAATTCACAGACTGAGAGACGCTGACGTGACGATGATCATTTGTTGATATTAAAAGCCTGAGCTTAAAACATTTACATTTGTAGTCGCCCTTTTTTATGTTGCAGGTAAAGTGATGCTCTGCTACACTTCCTATTAAGGAGGTTCATTACCCCTTTCCCCTTTTTATCATTTTCAACGCTTCATTGTAAGCCCTCTACAAAGGCTAAAACATAATTTCTGCTCTTACTGAGGCGACTTGGAAAGAATTGTTGGTGCCACGGTGATCCAAGTCATGGCACATACAGGACACAAAGAGAGCAAGAATCTCTATTTCCCTAAAAAAAAGAGAAGAGAGAAGGAGGGTTAACGATCAAAACAACTGCGTTTTGCTACTTCTGTAACCAAGCGTTTTACACCTACTCGAGGTAGTTGGATAGCCCTAGGTTTTTGTAGAGCAGGTAGCAGAAGTGTGAGACAGAGAAGGCGTGCATCCAGTTGTGGTAGGGGGGGTCCCTGTAGCCTTTCTTCACCATCAAACAGAACCTGACACCAAAGCAGGAGTTTTATTATCAAATACAACACAGCATGCCACATCTAGCACATTTTGGTTCTATTTAATACTTTCAATTTAAACAAATGTATAACTTTGCTGAAATGCTGAATCGCAGCACCGGGAAATGTTCCTACCTCCCAACACAAGGAGTGATTTTGACTTGAAGTTAACTGTATATTAAAATAATGGGTACCACTTTACAATAAGACTACCCTTATACAGGATTCATAAAGGGTTTATAATTAGGTTATTAATTAGGTTGTAAACACTTTATTAATCATTAAGATCCATTTATAAACCAGTTCTAACATAGTTTTCATACATCAGCCAAACGGCTCGCTGCACCCGCACTGCGAGGGGGACCCAAGTTCCCATCAGCAAAAACACGTGGGTTTGCTATCCTGGCTCCAAAATGGTGGAATGAGCTCCCCATTGACATCAGGACAGCAGAAAGCTTACACATCTTCCGGCGCAGACTGAAAACTCATCTCTTTCGACTCCACTTCGAGCAATACAATTATTAACAAAGCACTTAACAAAGGACTGGCTTAACTAAAGCCAGTTGAGTAGCACTTGAAATGTTTTTTCTCTATGAAACCTGATGTACTTATATGATTCTGTTTTCTTCAAGTTTGTATTTTGTTGGTCGAATGTACTTATTGTAAGTCGCTTTGGATAAAAGCGTCAGATAAATGCAATTTAATGTAATAATGTAATGTAACATCAACACAGGCTCACTATTTGGCAAGATGACTAGCCTTCTATTGGCTACTTAGTGAGAATCAACTCAGTGAGCAACAGATACCAAGGATGCTTGCTGATGAAGAAGATGAAGTAAGCTAAGTAGCCAATATAAGGCTTAGCAGTACAGATACATGTGGGCTCACTATTTGGCAAGCAACCGCTCACAGTTGCCCTGTTTATCTCATGTCTTATAAAAGCTTAGTAATGATTTATAAAGTGTTCACAACCTAATTAATAAGTGAATTACAAACTATTCGTAAACCTTTTATAAGGGTAGTCTTATTATAAAGTGGTACCAAAGAATTTATAGCTCTACTGATCAATTCTGACCAAAATATTCAGCCGTTCTGAACAAATGTTGATTTTAATCTAATGTATTATGTCAACAGATTACACATAATTGTATTAAGTTTGTGGAAAGCAATAATATTAAGTTGACCCTAATATTATAATAAATTAGAATTACTTATTAGGTAGAGCTTCACTGTGATGAGACACTCCGTGTAATCACTCAGTACGAACTCCTAATTCTTACATCTTGTATGCTTCACTGCAATCGGGATGATTACACCAATGATAATTAGAATACATCAAACCTAAAAGCACTTAACTTTAACAATCTAGAAAGAAGTTTGTGTGATATAATGATGGAAAATGAGGACCTAGTACAAAACAAAAACTGGAAGTATTCTTAATAAATAATGAGGTAAGATAACATTTGAAAGCAACTGGAGGACACACTCATACACACAGAATCTTAAATTGTGTCAATGAATTGATGGAGTTGTCAGACCTGGCCAGAGTGTTCAGGTCAATCTTGTATGTGTTGATGAAACCCATGTCTTCAAACATGCTGAGGATGCCCTGCAGACACACACACAACAGGATCAGTCAAATGTTTCTGTTTCTTTGAGCTTCCTCCACTCTGTGTATCTAATCTCTCGTTGTCTCTCTTTTTTCTATCACATCTTCTCTAAACCTCTGTCTCTTACCAGTGGCGTGGTGTCATCAGGGAGTGAGCGAGGTGTGTACGTGAACTCGGCAAAGCACGGGTGGAACTCCAGCACGGGTTCAACCCCCGTCACCAGCAGCTTAGTAACCTCTTCCTCTGAAACCTGCAACATACACATACTGAATCATATTGGGTAAATAATACGGACAGTGTCAGTAAATAAAACACGCCTCTGAGCGAGAGTAAGTGAGATGCACAATAGTGATTTTACCTTCATATGGTACATCATCATCTCATTGGCCAGGTGGGACCTGAACTGAGCTTCATGGACTCTCTTGTAGAGCAGAGACTAAAGAAGCAAACAATTTGATAATAAACCAACAGTTATGTCACATATTACAGGCGATGTACAGTTTAGATACAGCAAGCAAGAACTCTAATCATTTTTTCTCAATTTTGAAAGATAGCACTGGGTAGACTCGGTCTTTGGCATTCATAAGAGCATGATTTATACTTTGTCACTAATTTTTCAAATATTTGTAAGAATATCTTCAGAAAAGCAGCGGTCAAAACGTTGTCTCCTGCTTATTATAGATAATCCAGCTGAACCTTTAGATACCGGTCACAGCATACTGTACACCATTGATTAATAATATATATATTAACGAGCTGCCTTGAAGGCAATACGCTTTCATATGAAATATCTTTACAGTTTATAGATAAACCAGTGAGTATCTGCAGTTATTCAGAGGACACTGCAAGAGCTGCTAAATATGAAGGTGGAACAGAAATGCTCATCACTGCTGTACTATGACTATCAGCTCTTCTTTTCCTACCATCCTTCTTTCCTTACTTCCTTTCCTCCAGACTTCCTTCCCTCCTTGATTTCTCTATGGTCTCTTCTTTATCTCTATATTTAATGCAGTGCCCTTCTTTTGGCACATTATGTGAAAGCAGATGTAAATCCTTTAAATTACTCAAATCAAGAGTGACTGCTTATCGGCATTCTTTAAAAGCAAGATAAATAAATCCAGTTGAATCATTTTTAAATCAACATTTCCACTACGTTCTGGTAAAAAATGCAGTAATGACAATATGATGAAAACGTTTTATCGGCAAACACGCTTAACAGCGAATGAAAACATGTGTTTTAATCAAGATAATAAATATTGGATAATTGTGATACTCGCAAAGGATAACAAATCAATGCAAACTTTAAAAAACGTATCATGACAGCCCATCTTCATCATCGTCTTCATGGCCTGCATACACCAGCGTGTCTGAATGTGTGTTAATGGGTTTGCAGCAGTCAGTGCCTCTGAACTACGCCATAAAAGCCACTCAGCTCCATCACAGACTGAATCTCTTAACATTTCCCCGGAGGCTTTGCTCTGCTCCGCCTTGAATGAGCGTTTTTCTCCCACTGAACTGATCCCATTTTCCCAGACAGGATTGATCTCTCTGACAGCACTAACAAAGGACCTATAACTCTTTTAAGGAGAAAGGGACTCTTAGTACACTAGTGTGAAAGCCTATTGTAGAAACTTTTCTTTAATTCCTCTCGCACAGTCACATTTAGTTAAGGGTTACTATTGTGTAACTTGCAGAGATTACAATACTATACATTACATTGTTTTTGTGAGCTATTTATCAAAACCAACCGGAGATAATGAGCTAGGACTGTTTACAATGAGTATCAAGAAGAATGTGTAACTTAGTGTAACGGAGGTGATCTCTGGGCCCATAGATCTCGGCCTCCGTTACGGGTAATATAGCACTAAAAACATTGCACAGGAAGCATGGGAATATATGTAATTTATGTAACTAGTTGTCTGTCTCTGTTTCCTGGTTTTATTCTGAAAGTGTTCCCCTTTCCCCATGTCTGCTGCTGGATTGTGTGCACCTGGTGCCCTGTGTTGTCTCCTCCCCCCCACCTGTGTCTTGTTAGTCTGTGTGTGTATTTAGGGACTGTTTTCTTGTTGGGCTGGTAGTGTGATGTAAAATCCTTGTGGTTGGTGACGGTGTGCACATGTTTAGCAGGATTGAGGTTGTGAATCATTGTGTCTGATTTAATAAATGCCCACACCGGGTTATAATTTTGGACGTTCTGCCTCTGCCTCCTTGCTTGGTCGGGCCGCTCAATTGTCAGCTTCACACTTAGAAATGCTGCATTAATTCACTTTTAAATTGCTGAGATAATAAAAAAAAGTGATAGAAGCTGTCTTCCATGAACTCAGATGTTTAGGTTGTTAATTAATATGTAAATGTGTAGTATATGTACTCAATGCTTAATAAGCTTGCTTAACAGCATGACTTATCTGTTTCCTCATATAAAAAACAAGTGAAAGGCAGCATATGACTTTAATGCAAACTATTTAATGCCTTGTCCATGACCTGATGTCGTTGCCTATTGAACAAGCCGGAGCAGTAAATGTAAAATGAATACAGTGTCAGTTCTTTCAGCCGGAGAAGAGACTTACATGAGCGAGGCTGATACCACAGTAGATGGAGAAAGCCATGGCAAGGTCCTCGTCGAAGCGGTTGAACCACGGCCCGTTCATTTTATTCACCAACTCAGCGACTCCAATCACCTCTAAAAGATGAGGATTCAAAGAAAAGAGAAGAGGTACAGATGAAGAGGAAAATAAAGGTGGGACGTGCAGTGAGGTTGTGAATTGAGAGAGTTGATGATGAAGAGAGTGGAAAATAAGGCAAGGAATTCAAAAGTGCAGAACAGACGTTGAATAAAATAGAGCCACTCATTTAAATTGATTAGACACTGCAGCTGAATTGCACAAAAGAAAAATCTGAACTTAGATACAGCAAGAAGTCGGGAGCACGAAAGTCAGGAGCGTGACCAAAGAGTTTTCTAAAGATGTCTAAGTATGGAAACGTATAGAACTGAGGATAGTTGCCTCTTCAGCACTTTAACATTTAGGAGCAAAGAAAGTTATGTAACAACTCTTTGTGCTATTCTGAGAGAGAGAGCCTTTGTGGAAATGTAGCATCGTTTTTAAAAGGAAGAGGAGGAATGTACTGTAGAGGAGCAAATACCGAATCTGATATGATATTATCAGCAGCCTCACACTTTCATTATTAGGGCTCAATTGGACTCCTCGGGGGTAACTGGGCAGATAACTCCAATTAAAGATAACAGATGTTGCCAAATGTTGTAAAAGAACAGTAGAAAAGGATTTAGTTATGATGTACCGAGTTGCTTGAAAAGACTGTCCGAGAGTAGCTGAATGTTTTTTATATTGAACTTTTAACCTAGAATAATAACATTTTGGCATTTCAAAATGTTAACTACAACCTACCTATATATTTATGTCTTTTCTGATTATTTGGATACTTATGATTTGTACTCTGTTTGCATGTTTTAACTTCTTTTCCTTGACATTTTGTGTCCACACGTTCCCAATTAATGGTATTGCTTAAATTAGTTTTACAGATTTACAGATATTCCAATTTGATGACAAAGTTTAGATACTTTTTTGTATGTTAGGTGGAAGTGTGTGTGTGTGTTTGTTTGTATGTGTATAAGTCATTGTTGCTACCATTGCTCTCATCTTTGATGGGGAAGCAGAGGATGTTGCGAGTCTTGAAGCCGGTGCTGTCGTCCACACCGCGGTAGAAGAG